CATGTTAACTATAATATGTCTTAATATTAATATAATTCACAAACTATTTATTAACTTGCATGTGTATAAGTAATTATTTATTAAAACTATTTTTTTTATAAATATCAATACAATATAATTTATAATTAGTTTAAATAGGATATCAATTTCTAATAACTAAAGGTTGTATATTTATTTTTCAAAAATTATTAACTGCAATGTACTAGTAATTAAAATAGTTGCATCAATAGTTGTAAAATAATTAATATTAAAATTGCAATGATATTTTAAATTTGTATATGATTAGTAATTGCAAAAATATTATTACTACCTAAAAAGTAACATAAATAAAAATAACACGTTAATTTTAGTATATTGCTGCATTGCTGCCATCAAGCTCCAAGCACTTTTGCGTAGCAATCCTGTACAATTAAAAATCGTCCATATAAGCTATTTACAACAGTAATATAAACAAGGTTAGACTGTACTTACATTCAAAAAACCTTTATGCTTGTTGTCTAGCTCCTTTATCATTGCATCGTACTTCGCAAAGCATGTTGGATCCAGGCCATCGCAAATACCCTCTAAATGGTGACGATTGACAGCTTTCTTCAAGTTTTTAAACTTTGCGAAAAATTCTTTCTCTTTTTTCTCGCACTCTTTACATAGTTTGTCGTACTTTTTAAAAAACAAAAATTATGTCAAAATTAGTTTAATTCTAATTATCGACGACTAGCACATTTAAGTAGCATGTTTATGCATTTTTATAATTGCACGTTGCGCAATAATTTAATATATTAATTTAAATGACCACATACAGTTTTTGTATCTTTGTCGATCTTTGCTATGTACTGATCGTAGCAGTCGTCCAGTTTGACTGCCATTTTGTCGCTCATTATACCAGGGTCACACATTTTTTCTTGAATTGGCTTGTTTATTAAATCTTTCATCGTGTAGTGTTGTACATCGTGGGAACCACGTACAAAAATTGCCAAGATCGTAATTAATAACACAATATTAAATAATGTACTTATATGGGACATTTTAACAAGTAAATCTAAATATATTAATAAAGTAATAGCTACTGGTACAGTATTTATAGAATAATTTTAAATAAGTTTAGTATTCATTACAATTCTTAATTATATATATATAAATGACATATTATTTAATCAAGATAATAATTGTTTTTATGCTTAGTTTAATTAGTAATTAACCTTAATTAGCTTTATCTCAATAAACAATTTATTTCATTATGTTTTCAACAACATTAATTAAAATATTATTAAGCATTTGTGTAAATAAACAACAAAATAACTTATGACGTATACACAGGTACAATTAATTTTAATGCAAAGGATATACAGGTATGCAGTTTATACAATAAACATTAATTATAAAATAAGTTTTTTATAATAAGCTGCAATTAGTAATAATTTTAATTTTCCATTATTAATAAATATCAATATAATTTTAATATTTCAAAATTCATTCATTTTATTACTGGATTGCTTTATTGTAGAGATACAACTTCGCCCTATGTCAATTCAATCATTATTAATATAGTTAATTTGAAAATACATAAAGGTGCTTAGTATATTAATTTACTAAATTGAGAAATTTTAATTTATTTTTAAAACATTAATTATTAAAAATTAATTAATAGTTTGACACATTTTAAAACATTATACTCTGTAGGTTTTAATATACTAATATTTATTAAATAGGTACTTTTGCTTAAAGTTTAGCTTTCCCCAGCAAGTGTTTGAAGACCTGTAGGCCGGCCTCGGGTTTGTCCTCAGGCACCATATGCCCGGCCCCGCGGACCAACACAAAGCTCAGACCATTCTCGTAGTGCTGTACGAAACCGCCGAGCACTCCATCAGGCTTTCCATCGACCCTCCACTCCCTGTCCCAAACATATTTAAATTAATTATAAACTAGTTCATACGTAAGCTCTAAAAACTTCAATTGTATTGTAGCCTCTAAAAGGTGTATCAGTGATATTGCATTCAATGTAAATTCAGGGGCTATAACACAACTACAGTTTATAGAGTTAGTGTATTAGAAAAAAGCTTTAATCTTAATTTTCCAATATTGCTTCAAACTTTAGATATAACATACATGTAAAGTTTGAAACAATATTGGAAACTTAAGATTAAAACTTTTTTCTAATACACTTATCGAAATCAGATATCACAAAATTTGCATTCAATGCCCAAACCTATAGCTCTCAATCTTTTGACTTTTGGTCGAAACGGCGATCCCGTCGACGAAACGCTGATCGGATACGAAGTCACACATTATGTCGAAATCTCCGTTATAGACAACATATCTCCCGATTTTGTACCTATGTATTAAATCAATGGATGCCTGGGCCTGTGGGGTGTAGGCCTTGGATTTATCGTAGGAACCGCCGCAACCAATCCACCTCTTGGTGCCTTCCCTCACGTGCAACGCTTGGCGTACGTCCGGTCGGTTGAGGTAAGGCGTGTGACCATTCTTAGGACAGTTCGGTTTATTCGCATTTTCATTATAGTCGCCACTCAATGGGAACCGGAGTCCCATTTTGTCGAAGTGTGGTCTATAGTAGGTGTTGAACGCGTATTGTAAGTACAGGTCGGGCGCGCAGTTGTCGTATATATTGTATGGATTAGTGATGGCGACATCGACTAACGGAACCGATTCGCACTTACTGTTAAATAATTAAATAAGGTAAATATAATTAGTATTTACAATTGGACAACAACGTGCAGAAACCCGATATGTATTGTTGTAATGCAAACTGTACCGTATACATAACATAAACATTATATTAAAAATATCACATATTGTATATTATTTTGATAATTGCAATAATTATGTTATGCATACAGTTTGCATTGAAAAATACATAACTGTTTTATGCACGTTGGTGATTTGTTATTTATCAACGTTTATACAGAATAATTCATGCATGTAATTTTTTTAAGTTAATTAAACTTACCTAACATTTGCTGGATGCATAAAATCGCACTCATGTTGCGGACCGGACTTACACTCACAGCAGCTCTCAATCTTTTTCTCGTACCACTCGGTGGTCACTAATCCGTGACCTAAAGCAAAGTCGTACCAACTCTGAGTGCTAAATAAATTACCATAAAGTAAACCATTGCCAACAGCCAGTCCTATTTGTGTTAATTGGAAAATTTAGATACACTAATGCAATATTAAATTTAAATATATCTAAGTGAACAATTCGAATTAAAAATACTTTTATTTTATCTTTTAATATTGCTTACATGTTAAGTTTGAAAGCAATCTTAAAAGATTATATTAAAGGATTTTTATGGAAACTTATTTCAAACTAGTTTCTCAGATATACTTTATTTTGAAATGTTGCTGTACAAATAAACTGTAACTAAAGTATTCCACTTCATACTACTTTATATTATACAAAAATTCATTGTTATATACAATATTAAATAAAACTTCAGTTTACAATTTGTTTGTACAGTCACATAGAATGTTTTAGAATGTTATTTTTCATATTAATATAAATCACCTTTCAAATTAATAGTAGAGTTGCGTTTGAATATCTCCGTGGCCAACATCGGCACATAAACCCCACCATAACTCTCGCCCGTAATATAAAACGGATTTCCCTTCAAATGGGGATACTTTTCAAAAAAGCTTTCGAGGGCTAAATAATTGTCGTTAGCTGTGGACACGTCGTCGTTATGGGGCTCAGGGGTCGTCTCATCATAACTAAAACCGGTCGACACCGGGGACTCCATGAACACCATATTCGCCACTGTATTCCACGCGTGTTCACGACTAGAGAGTGTCACCCCGTCCTCATTGGCACTGAAGGGCCCGTTCTCTGTCATCATAGCGAA